TCACAGGCCAGCTAGAAAAAGAATCTCCATAACAAAGAAAGGACAATCAAGGTAATATTCTGCTGTCCTACTGCTTTGACTGATTTACAATCAAGAATCACAATTGATCTTGAGCATCAATTGGGGAATATTGCACTAGGCAATTTAAATGACTGCCTGGGACAGTACATTGAAGGGAGAAGGTGGCATATTTTGAGCAGTGGCAATGTTAGAGAGTAGTAATGGTCCATCACTAGCATTCCTGTGTTGTGTTTTTGCTTATGTTTCTCTCAAGCACTGCAGGATGTAAGAGGAGGCAAGCAAATGCAGTGCAATAGATTTTAATAAGTGAGGACTTTTAAGAATTGGATTGCAGTTTTATGAAAAATGTGCTCAACAAACATCATCCTAACCAGAAATGCTTGTGTCAAATAGGACTATGTGACCATGAAATTACATGATGCAGTAGCTGCAGGTAGCAGATTTCAGAAGGGCAGCATTTTCTTATCTCCAAAGTCTAATTGGGAGCAGTGACCATGGTGCTATTAAATTAAACGTACATGTAAATGGCCATTTGCCAAGAAAATCCAACATGGTCACATTTGACTTCAAAAGAAGAAATTTCCCCCGAATGAGGGGATTGGTAAAAAGGAAGTTGAAAGGAAAAGTCAAGAGGGTCAAATCATTCCAAAATGCCTGGGAGTTGTTTAAAAACACAATAGTGGGAGCTCATCTGGAGTGGATACCGAAGATGAGGAAAGGTACCATGAGGGCCTAGAGCATGCCAAAGTGGTTGATGAACAGAGTTAAAAGAAAGCTTCCTTCAAAAAAATATGGAAGTCTTGTTCAAACAAGAGAACACAATGAGCATAAGGAGATTGCAGAGAAGCTGGACAAATTATTTTGATTTCTGGACATCCAATGAAACTGAATATTGGAATCTTCAGGGCACATTAAAGAAAATACTAAGCAGTTCATGATTAAACCATGGAACTTGCTCCTACTGGAGCCAGTGATAGCCACCAACTTAGACGGCTTTACAAGAGGATTTGATAATTTCATGGTGAATAACCACGATGGCTGTGCTCTGCTTCCATGGTTGGAGGTGGTAATACCTCTGAATACTAGATTCTGGAAACCTCAGGAAGCCCTGGTTGTAGGGTTCCCAGAAGAGGATGCTAGGTTAGATGGCACCACTGGCCCAATCCAGAAGGGCTGCTCTTATATTCTGTTGGTACATGCTGTTAAAACAAAAATGCACAGGGAGAGGGTTGGAATCAATTTACTAGTTTGCTGCAGGTGCAAAAATGTCTAAAGATGATTATATACACTTATGCCTTACGGCTGGTATTTTTCACCATCCCTGCCTTATCATCTTCGGTGTGTGAGAGCTTGTAGTGCAGGTGAGTAAAAGGCGGGCTTTTGTAAATAGTTATTTCAGGACCGAATCCTGACCTAGCAAGCTGTGACTCAAATGAAGCTTTACTTGATGGCTTTGGTTGCCGCCCCATCTGTAGAAGAACTGCAGCAATTTGAGTGAGCCGTTTGTGTTTGGTAACATTTAGGATAAACAACACCCAAGTCCAGTTTACTCTTTTGTGTCTTACATAACGGCCCCTGGTATCTGCTCTGGGCAGGGTAGCCATATAAGGGATAAAGTTCTGCATGTCTATAAAGCAGTGGAGCTGTGTGTGTGTGTGTTTAGATTTACAGTACAGTCATTATTTTAACAGCACTTATTGTGACTTAAGGTCAACATTCGTCTTCCAGAATTTTCTTTATTGAAGGAACGAAGCTTTATGCCATAACCCCATGTCTCTTCTAATTGAATGAGTGCTTCCTTTGTCCTTGAAGCAACAAAGAAATATGTGCATCTAGTCTCTGCAACATGGAGAGCATCTACTTTCAGATTTGGCATGTCTCAACTTTAAAACCAGCTTCTTCTTTTTTTAAAGGTGTATTGGCACACCTCTGCTTCAATTGCAATGCACAGTACTGAAGGACATTGTTGTGGCTTTCTAGAACAAAGAATTGGCAACTACCACAGCTCAAACACTCACATGCCTATGTGTTTTAGGCATTAATGAGGTCTGTTGGAAGGTTAGGGTCCTTAAGCTTTTCCTTAGCTCTGCTACACATACCTGCAAATTTCTGAATATGCCAGAAAAAAATGCTTTCAAATAACTTGGTTGGTTAACTAGAATGAAAAGACTCTGAATAGTGTAGTTCCTAAATAACCATGCTTGTTGCTGTTGCCATGTGCTTTCCTTCCTGCATAGAATGAGAGAAGATTGTTCCAGTGTGTGGCACAGAGAAAATGCAGCAAAGGATAATGTGGAGGTGCCCAAATGTGCTGGAAGTAGCTTCTGATACATCACCATGATATGTACGGATGCAGGGTGGCCACTTCTGCATTGTGATAAAAATGGGGATGCGGATTTGCAAAAGCTAATTTGTGTATATAGGTGCAAATTTAGAAATAATTAATACACTGCACTGCCTGAGCAGTGAGTACCTCAGAAAAATCCAAGTACTGATACAGAGAATATTGTTCCCTAGTTTTGCTAGTCTAACACACTGAAGAAGAAGATTTGGATTTAATATCCCGCTTATCACTACCTGAAGAAGTCTCAAAGCGGCTAACATTCTCATTTCCCTTCCTCCCCCACAACAAACACTCTGTGAGGTGAGTGGGGCTGAGAGACTTCAGAGAAGTGCGAGTAGCCCAAGGTCACCCAGCAGCTGCATGTGGAGGAGCAGGGAAGCGAACCTGGTTCACCAGATTACGAGTCCACCACTCTTAACCACTATACCACATAGTGCTATGTTGTTCTACTGTATGTAACATACTTCCTAACGTTTTTCATTTCTCTTCAGTCTCTTTGCTATCATGCCCTGCAAATTATTTCACAGCACATCATTCCATTAGCACAAGCCCTTGCTTCGCTCCTTAACCTGAACTACCACTTGCATAATGCGTGGCAACCTGGTAACCTGCTGTCTAGATTCAGCCTACCTGAAGCTAGTTTTTATGTCACTGTCACTTCTAAACTACTAGTTGCATTGTATTTCTGCAAGTATGGTTAACTGTCACTCTGAACTCCTGCACTACAAGTTTTAACTTTAATTTAGACTGGAATCCCTTTGAATTTAGACAGCAATCCCAACACCTTAACTAGGAATAGTCTCTTCAAACATTGACTCAGAAGAAGTAGAGGCTTTCTGGGTAGTTTTTTAGTAGCTTGTGTTTAGCTGTTGTGGTGGAAGAAAAGCATTTGATGTGCAAAAACTGGCACAGGAGAGTGACACCCAATTATTGCTAGTATCAGTTAGTTGTATCTCATGCTAAATTCCTTAACCTTTAAACAGGAGGTGTTCATACCCTAGATAGACTATGGTATGTTAGATATCAGAGTACAAGTCAGCTTGACAAAATCCAGGTACACTTTGTTAATAACCATGTATTATACCTTGAAGAGACATAAGTGCAGGAAAGACGAAAAAAGCTCTGTGCTTGTCAATATTGAGAGCTGGAGGATTAAAACATGGTTCTCTAGCTTTAAATCAGAAGATTAATTGTTTAATGCTATATGTTATATGTTTTGGAAGTCTACATTCTCATTGTGTTCAGTGGGCATATTTTCCTATCACCAATAATTGTTCCACTGCATTGTTCCACTGCATTTCAGAAGTAACCACACTCCAGTAGCTGCACTTTATTTAAAGAGATTTCTTTATCATTTAACTTTATTACAGCAGGCACAGCCTGGATGCTGTTCGAGTGACAAGGACTATTTCCTTAATTACTGTGCATTGATAATAGCATTTACTCTGGCAGCTCCAGTGCTATTCAATCAAGCGAGATTCAATACAAAAAAAGCTGATTTGCCAAAAGGAAGATTAGCATAAGTGCCTGCAGTCACATTCTATTTTTAAAGGTAAAGTTACTTCTTGTCAGAACTTTATTAAAAGCCATAACATGATTACTATGATCTACCTGCTATTGTTAAAAAATAAATAAATCTTAAAAATCTGCAAAGTTCAATATTCAAGCTAAGGACATTTAACATGCTCCCTCCTCCCATCCTAAAGTATTTGATCACATCTGATTTACAAAAGCAACGGCAGGGTTTATTTCTCATCCTACTCTGACGTAGATACTCAAATTTATTGTACCAAGTTTTCCTCCCCCTAATTTTGTATTGCTGCACTTAGTCATCGCTTGATTAAGTGATGACTAAGGAGATTGCTTTTTAAAATGGAACATTTCTCTTTTTTTTGCAGTGGATCTAGCATAAACTGGAAATGCCGACTTCAGCATTACGCACATCTCTTAGCAGAAGGTTAAACAGGACATTTAAATATTATGGCAAGCTATGATGAGATCAAAGCTCAGAAAACAAATGGTAACCGGATAACAGCACTTGGTATGCTCAATTATCAAACGTAGAAGATTGAGGACCACATTATGACCTGTACACGTAAATGAGTCCAGCAGGTCAAACCACTAAAGGAAAGGCATATATATTCCATAGCTTCCTCTTAACAAAATGGCAGGCAAACAGTTTTAAATCCTTCTAAAACGGCTGAGAGTGTTGGATAGCCATTTTTTACAAAGACTCTTGTTGCCGACTATATCTATCTAGCTATCTAGCCAGGGGTTGTTCTGGGCTTGCTCCTTCACAGCTGGCTATTGTTGTGAGAATAAGAGAACAGACACTATTTCCATAAGTAAAACTATGAAGTCAGTAACTGAGCTCGCTCTTTCAGCAACTCGTTTAACAAGTGCTGATGTAGGCTTAGAGACACAGTGCATTCCCCTCTTATTTTAGCTCTTATGAAGTGGACCTGACTTTAAAGAACAGTTAAGGCTTTCCAGGTGGCAACAAAGCTGACAAAAGTGAAATTGCCAACGGTAGTTGTGCTGAAATATTAAGAGACCTTTTTATACCTCTCTCCATACTGGGAAAAGCAAAAATGCTTTATGGTTGGAAGAAGTGACAGAAAGAAGACAAGGGAAATGACAGCAATGACCATTGTTTATATTCCTCACGAACAGCAAGATGAAAATGCTACAAACATTTAGCTCTGAATTGGGGAGAGGGACAGTGATGTAAGTGTTCCTAGGGAACAATATTCTTATTCTGTTGAAGGAGGTGAGCCAAGACACTTAAGCTCCAGAGAACCTTTAACACAGGAAGCTATTTATCATAACAAGCTTGGTTGAGACTGCTCCCCATACTGAACCAATTAGAGTAGCTTATTTCGTCATACTTCATAACTTGCAATGATAGGTTTCCAAGCCTGGCACAGTGCAGTAATTGAATTTTGATCAAACACACATGGCCCATAACCCACTATGTGAAACTTTCAGAGCAGTTCGCAGCTTTTAAATATCCAGTCAACTTGTTGCCAAAAGTACAGGATGTACTTGATGCAAGGGAGGGAGAGAATGAATGAGCTGGAACTTGGTACATCTGTAAAACAACATTTTTTTGTTTGACTTCTCCTCTTGCTTTTAAAGAGCAGTCAGGAAAGGGATGCTGAATCTGAGGTCATTTCTTCCTGCCTTTACTTTTATGTTCGCACATACGCTTTTCAGAGTTTTTATGCAATTTGTATTAAGTCCATTGTGCAGTAATTCATGATGCATTCTCCATAATTTATGTCCATTGTTTATTCTTATTTAACAAAATAATTTAAAAGCAAAGTCACTGTCCTATTCTTGTTGGGGCTATGGTTATTGTCAAAACCATGGCCTGTGTATGATGAAGCTGTCTTCTGCTTTTTGGCATGGGCAGAGACGACGAGACAACTGATGACACAGATGCTTCCATCAAATCATGTCCTTTGAAGGCAGACCCCTTCCATTAGTTATTGTTCAGCTGAACTCTGGAAGAAATCAAAGTATTAAATGATTAATTCCTGTCAGTGGGAAAGCATGAGTGGTTCCATAGCTTCCATGAATGAAAGACAGTTTGTGAAGCTGCCTCTTGTCCCACAGGAACCCAGAGCACAATAGTAGCCTCTTGAGTCCCCTTTGCAACAGCACAGTCAAACACACATCCCCCTCAAAGCCTGAACAACAGCTGCCCCCCATTTGCAGCAAGAATGGAGCTTGGATTTTCTTCACTTTTGTTCTCCTTTCTGCTCCCTTTCATAGGACTAAAATTCTATAAGGCTGGCTATAGGATAGACATGAGCTGCATCTTCTCTTCCAACCACACCTTTTATCTATGTTCATTCCCAGTGCTTGTCATTGGGATACTACTGTAGGACACAGCTGCTGCAGGAGCCCCATGGGTGGCAGCCAGGTTAGCTGACTTCTCAGCTTCTTCCTTTTTGCTCTACGTCAGTCTATAGCTTAAAGCAGGGATAGCCACTGTGGTGTCTCCAGATATTTCTGGACTCTAATGAGCATGACCAATGGCCAGGGATGATATGAGCTGTAGTCCGGTAACATCTGGAGGGTACATGCTGACAAACTCTGACTTAAATTATAGCTAAGCACATTAAACTATTGCATACCCTAGAGATAAACACCAGTAGCAGCAAAATGCATATGTGAGACAGCTATAAATCACCTACTTCTTGTCACCTGGTTGTGAACCAGCAAGGAAATAGACACATTTCAATAGCAAACTTTTATACACTAGAAAACAATGCAAATGAATGGTATCCTTGGTACGATTTGTAATTGCAGGATACAAATACATTCTGATCGCTTGAAGTTGCAAACTTGCATGCCTGCAAACTTACAATACAGAAGTTTAATATGGAAGTCATTTAATATGATCCTGAGAAATATCTGTCGGCTGTTTTCAACTGTATTGGGAAACCACATGGCACCAACTGAGCCGAAAAACTCACTGGCTTAGCACAAATGAGCAAATATGTGGGTTCCTGGTGAAATCAGTCACTGTGCTCCTCCCCAGTCATTTTGCTCCTGCCATAAGCTGCAGTCTCGCTTAGGGTGCCATCTGAATCTGGGCTCATGATTTAGCTCTCCCTGACAAACCGTGAGCTGTAAAAACCATAGGACAAACCTTAGTTTCAGTTTGTGATTTGTCTAGAGACAGCTAAGTCATGAGCTTGAGTTTGAATGCTAAGCCAAACCACAGCTTAGCACAGCAGCAAAACAAGTAGGGTGGAGCAAAGTGGCCGTGATCTCTTCCCTGGGAGCTGGCACATTTTTATAAAGCCATGCTTTGCTGTAACATGATATGTGAACCAGACCACCAGGTGGTACATGAGTCCCATGTGTGTTTTCAAGCCTTCTCCCTATTTCATATAAAACGTGCCTTTTCTCAATGTGTAAGACAGACCTGTCAGGAACATAGGATGTCACTCTAGAAAACTAGAATTTTTATGGCTAGTTTGCTTCAGTTGTCTCATGCGCCTGTTTGGGGGTAAAGGTACCATGAGGATATGAAGGTTAGCAGTACCAGCATGCTCAGTTAAAGGATCTCAGGTGACTGGGCTGGCAAGGATACCTGCTTGAGATCTTTAACTGACAAACTTTCCTTGAGAGCTGCTGCCAGAGTAGACAATATTTGTGAAGATGAACCAATGCCAGTTCATCTATATGCCTGTTTCAAGCATATAAACAGCTCCATTTGTGATTGCAGAAAATATATATAAGGTTTGAAGGTCTAGAGGCAGCCAAGTCATGAGCCCTTTCAATTGCCACACATATACATGTGTTGGAGTGAGAGCCAGGGTATTGGCATATTAATTATGAAACTAAATCAAATTCAGAGCACTGCCGTTTTCTATGCTATTTCTTAATTTTACTTTTGCTAGTGGGAAAACTTAAAAATGAACATGATCCCAATTTGATTGCTGTGTTACTGAACAATTCAGTTGTAGATTTAAAGTACATGTTGCAAACTTCTTCAAAATGGGATTTATATAGTAATTATACTAATGGAAGATAATCTTTGAAATTGTTGAATAGTCTAGAAACTTGATGCATCAACACAGCAGCAGACAATACTATATAGGCTTTCCTTGTAGGCTAAACACAGACAGGATCAGTGCTGAGCTTATAACCTGACCTTTGCAATGCACTTGTTTCAATAGGCATAAGGTACAGTATTTGGTTATGGGGTTTGGCTCCACCTACAGGAAAGAGGAGGCAAAATGTGGGGTAACTAAACATTGCTTTTGCCAAAAACTGCATCTTGCTGTCTTTTCAAGCGAGATCCACCAATATTGGCTTGGTCTCACTGTGGAGAAGGTAATGAACAGCCTCCTCTGCCACTGTTAAGAAGAGAATCACATTGTTTCTACCTTCTGCAAACCACAACACAAATGAGAGTTTGGAGTCTTTGCACTGCTGTGTGTTCTTATCATAGGTGAGGGGAAGTTGCATGTGATGAGTGAATGCAGTTTTGAACACTAAAAAGAGATACTCTTGGATTAGTTACAAAATTCCCTAGAATTTGTAGGGGGTTGGTTACAAAAAGATCATGGAACTGTGCAGTTATTCTGGTTTTCAGTTACATGACAGGAAACAAGCATTCGACTCCTCTGTGCCATGCATACTTCATTTTACAAGAGTAATAGTTATTAATCAATTAATGAATTTTTAACATACCCAAATCAAGGCACTTACTGGCATGTTTAAGGGTATATCTGTGGTTTTCTGAATGTCTCATTAGAAATACTCAGTCTGGTAAGTCTTGCTCCATAATAATCTATGATGTAACTAGAGCCATCAGAAGGTCCAACGATCTAAAAGAGAATGCATTACAATATATATATATTTAAAATCATTTTGAACAAAAATAAAACAAAATACGATTTTGAACAGTATATATGAAAAAGAATCTATTAAAACCATTACCCTAGCCCAGCAAGACATAAAACCTCTAATTAGAGCTAAAACTACTTATTAGAGCTTATTATTCCAAAACAAATATGACTGGAATTCTCTTTTAAATGTTTGTCGGGTGACTCATTTATATACTCTCCCTGCCCAGAACCCAAGAATGTTTACAGGCAGTCACCCATCCAGGCACTAACCAGACTGAGACCTGCTTAGTTTCAGTCAGGTGGTGGGCGCATGAATCTTTAGGTGCAGCTGGGACTTAGAAGCAAACAAAAGCCACTGGATTCCTACAAGAGAATATGCAGTAGCATGTATAAATTGTTATAACACTGCTGACATTTTCTGAAGTTTCAACAATAGGGTGGAAATCACACTACCTTTACATGTGAAGACTGACACATATATTTCCACAAACATCTGTGTTTAGGAAATTCAGAAACACTGTTTTGTGTTTAAAAGAACCAGCTCTTCAAGTGTCAAGCACAATCAAATGTTTTTACTAAGCAACAGTTTCAGCAACCATTTAAGGCCATTTAGGAAGTAAATACATAGTGCCAAAATAATCTGGAAACATTCCCTTTGGTAAACATCCTTCTCATCCTCAACTTTCTTTAATTTAATATAAAAGCTGACCCAACTAAAAATCCGATCTTTGCATTAAAATGTTTAATTGGCAGGTGTTTACGATTCATCCCAGAAACCTCACAAATTCATTTATACCTATGATGGCAACATGGAATTTCAAGCACACTGTTGTAATGGATTGAGTTCAGTATTATATAGGATAGGCTCATAATTACAGTTCCCCCTCCCATGCTGTGAAATTATGTTCTAGCAGTTTTAATGTCACATCAGTTTTACCTAAGTGCTAACATAGCTGAACAGAGAAGCTGAGAGGAGCCTGAATGGGTAGATTTAAATCAAGGAGTTTAATATCTGTACTTCTATATTGTATAAAACTTCCACAAACATGTACTTCTTCCTTTGTAATGGCAAACTGAGAAAAGTGTTAATACATGAAATTATTCTGCCCAAACTCCTCTTGAATCCATGAGTATTATATTTCTGGCGTACAATAATTTTAAACCTTGAAAGTTATTTTTAATCATTAGCTGGCCAGGTACAAAACTCATCTATTCTAAGCCCCACTGCTACAAAAACCAAACCCCACAAACCCTTCCTGTATTTTCAGCCAGAGAACTGTAATCGCTGGCAGTTAACGTTCAAAAAATAATAACACACCTTCCAAGTGTCAGAAACAGAGTGGAAATGTCTATAACTATGCTTCATAGCAACTTAATTGTTTGGTCCTGAAGTTTAAGTTCTATCTGCCACCCCAGGATTCCTTACAGCTATACCTACCCTACTAGTATTACACCTCTATGTTTTATGATATTGTGGTTCAAGAAGAGGTGTGGAATTTGAGGGCAGAGCAAATCCCTTCAAATGAATGGAAGTTGTTTCTATTTTAGCTGTAAGCCACCTTGAGTCCTTGTCAGGAAAAAAGGCAAAGTATATATATTAAAATAATAGTATTATAATACGTTGTTTGTCTTAAAAAATTTAACAACATGGGTGGACCTGGTTGGTTTTTGAACTTATATTCTGGGTTCTGGGGGTTCTGCTGTACAGGAGCAGATCATATGAACGAAAGTTTGGTTCCAGTAAACCATGATTATTATTCTGCCTAGGTCAAATATTTTAATGAGAAAGCATAATTGGATACAGGGATAATTCTTCCTACAATTCTAACTTTGAGATAAACACTGTAATGGGCCCTATATCTTCCTTTGAAGATATGGGTCTGGATGGTTGACAGCTCTCTGATAGCAGCACCAACGGGACTGCAGATGAGCAAATTCTGGTTCTCCCAATTCTAATTAAAAACAAGGAAACAGAGAGGATTTATCACTGTGATCCGTTCAAACCTGTGCTGGAACAATACAGATTTTTTTGTTTAATTGGGACTGGAATAAAATATTACTTCCAAAATATTACTTCCATTCTTTTGGGGTACCTTTTGATTGTACAAGTTTCCTGTTCAGAGTTTAAGAGTTACCTATTTCTCTGTTAATTAAACCAGGAAGCAACTGTTCAAGGAAAAGTGCCCCAGTTACAAACTATGGCATGAAAGGGGAGTGTAAGATATGAACTGGGTACTCAAGTTTGTAGTGAGTGATGTCTTCACCCATTTTCCACTAATTGCCCACGTGTGTGCCTTTGTACTATATGCTTGTTACATTACAAGATTATTTTTATGTTAACGAATGTTTTCTTCCCTGTTTAGAGATAGAAGCCTTTGTTTGGGGCAATTAGTTTGAGAAAGGAGAGTACAATCTTAGCTAGGAACCAGGTGGTTTCAAGGATCTTCTTCCAGGCTTGGGCAGAATTTATAACATAGTTCTGATAAGGAAAGCTGAAAGACTCAGAGTTGAAAGTAAAGGAAGAGGCACAAATTTTAAATATTGGGTCAAGGCCTAAAGTAATTAAAGAGTAATTTTAATGAGCAAAGTATTCGGATTGTGTCAGGAGATTTGAAATGAGAGGGGTTCTATTATTAGTGAAACCCATAAAGAAGTGGACTTTACCAAGGATGGGGCTTCTCTCTCTCGCCTGTTAGTTTCTTACATTTAACTTAATTGGCACCCCCCTCCTCAACAGCACACTCCCTGAAGGCATGCTAGCTTGGTGGTGTGGGGAGATGGAGAGTAGGTTGTTTGCTAAGACGAGGAAACGTGCTTCCAGGAGTAGCTTCATAGTTTTTCTAGGATTTTTCCTTTTACATTCTATTTTTTATTTCCCCTAAACCTTATGAATTATTTTAGCTAAATATTTCCAACAGAAACCAGTAGCCCTTACCATAGCAATTCTTGTAGATATAAACCTTTGCTTAATATTTTCCAAATTTAAAGTCATTTATTTACTCATTATTCCGTAAAGCCCTTAATTCTATCTCAATATTTGGGAAACACGTATCTATGTATCATACATTTAATTTACTTGCTTTAAAATCTTAAGTAACTTTTTGTATATTGTTTCAGAATACCTTTATAATAAAGTGAAACTTTAGACTCTCCTCCCTGAAAGAGAGGGGAGTGGTTGTGGACGGGAGCCCGAACACCGCTCCTAGCAGGGGGCGTTGCCCCCTGCCTCCAGCTCACCTGGCTGGCAATCACGCCCCCCCCGGTGGCCGTCCAACCAGGTGCCATGGGGGTGGGCGTGTCCAGCAGCCTTTATGCTGCAGTGCCAGCCTCTCCCCGGCCTCATTTCTCTTTGCCGTCCTGTGCGAGTCACCCACCCTCCACTCCCTTTGAGTTAGGCTTAGGTCATTGGCCTTGCTATGGACCTTAGGTTGGTCGCCCCGGTTGCCCGGGGGGCCTGGTAGGAGTTTTTCCATTTGGCATTAGGCTTTTTGGTTTTTTCGCCTACCTCGTAGCAATCGTCACAACTTTTTGGTGGTATTGGTGGGTAGGTTAGGCATTGGAATAATGTGTTGTGGTGTGTCGAAGTGCTAGGTGTGGCCATCGCCTATGCCTTCAATTTCTAGGGGTATTCCGTTAATGGAATCTGGCGGTCGTGTATTCCGTCCGAAGCCTGCTTGGCGGGAGGCCATGGCACGACCCTCGGTGACATCAGGGGTGAGCCTATAGTTGGATTAGCATCAACAGGTGATGAACCCCTGGTGAATAAACCCACTTGTTTCGCGATCCAATGCCTAAGCCAATACCTTTTCATTGCTGTAATCAATAAAGTTGTGGCCTTTTCTAGCCCATTAACCTTATATCACGTGTCCCTGTGTCTTCATTTTACTTCGCGGGGGTCGGGTCCTCGAACCACAACCTACTGTTTTTGAGTTAGCTAGACTGCAGGGAGGGTGTTAGGGTAACTGCTTTCTTATATTTCATTTTTCATTTATAATTTCTTGTTTTATCTCACATAGTTAATACAAACACTTCCTATTTCTTCTCTTCAGCATTTGTAGTAGCCCCATTATCACATCTATTGTAGTATGATCACTTTTATGTAACTTTCTGTTTATTCATCTCATGCTTTCGCCATTTTAAATGGATATTTACAATTTCTCACAATGTGCCAGTTATTTAGTCTTAATACATTTTTAAATTTACTTTCTTTCTGTGTGGTTCTGGCTCTTCAGTCACATAGAAATATGCTCTGTGGAGCATATTAATACAGATTGAATATAGAACCTGTTATTCATACTTGCTATTACATGTCGACCAAGAGAGCATGATGTCAAGAAATAGTGAACATCAGTCAGATAGGTCAGTGTTTCCCAACCTTGTGCCTCCAGCTGTTTTTGGACTACAATTCCCATCATCCCTTGCCACTGGTCTTGCTAGTCAGGGATGATGGGAGTTGTAGTTCAAAAACAGCTGGAGGCACAAGGTTGGGAAACACTGAGATAGGTAAAGGTTAAGTCAACATTTTTAGCCGGCTGTTCAAGCTGAAATACGTGGAGGCTAAATCAGCTCATATGATTTGGCAGTGTTTGGTTTAGATCACATAGCAAAACATGCATTTTGAGACTAGCAGATACTGTGGCTTTATCTTTGTGGTTCTCAACTATATACAGACAACTCCCTATTTATGCAGGGGTTGCATTCCAAGGCACTGTGTGTGTTGGCGGGATGCAAGTAAGTCCGCCCTATCCCCTTCCAGTGCTGAAAATGGTGTGCGCATCAGCAGTTGCGCATGGCTTGAATGTGTGCAAATGGGAGAGTTGCCTGTATGTAACATAGGTTATAAGTAAAAATTAGGTGACATGGGTCTATAAGCTGACTAATACTACAACAATGGAAAGCAAAGTCCTCCCAGTTATGGAAGATTGGCCTCAGAATATAATAATCTGAATATGTAGTCTTGAATAAATAAAAGAAATCTGAAATCTAGGAACCTCTCTCACACACTTTTCTGGACTGCCAAGCCTCATATATTTTATTAGTGGTTTTCCCTCCTCTGCACCCGCCTCCCAAATGATTTCACTTTTCCCAGCAATGACTAAGGTATGGAAAAATTGTGTTCCAGGGGCCTCTTTCAGAAATGATACAAATATTTCATTGTTATATAACTCCTACTATTCAAAAATAAATTAAATGTTAATAAACTAGAGCTGCTGGAATAAAAAAATTGTAAAACACATTCTTTAAAAAATAGAGCAGCCCTATAGCAAACTGCTTTTGAAACTGAGGAAAGTTTTAAAAGCAGTTATTGACATGGCATGGGAATCAGCTGTTCAGATGGGGGGAAAGGAGAATTCTGCTGGGCTAGCACAAGTCCCTTGCGGAAATCTAAGTAGCTTTTTGGATCCTAGCCAATGTCATTTATTCTGATGTTGCAAGCTTACCTGCATTGAAATCAGAATGAAGTCTATTAAACTACCGATTCCACAAAATCCTACTGTGCAGAACTTTAATAAACCTGTGAATTAAGTGACAATCATACATTGAAGAGCATAAAAAGGTTTAGAGTGTTAGTTTTTAGACAACGATATATTTTCCTTCATAAAACATCTTTCAAATTCCTTAGAAGCCCTTGAGTGTTATCCTGAAGAAGAATATGTGTAGCCAAGTAGTCATTTTTCAATGCCTTCTTTACACACACGCACACACACACCCCTAAATAGAATTTTTGTAGGGAGAGATGTGGCTTTGACTGGTACACTACAATTAGCAAAATACGGTGGGTAACTTGGAATGGCCACAAACACACACAGGATGATCTCCAACTAAGTAAAGAGTTAGACCCATTGAAATCAATAGACTTAAGTGACTTAAATCCATTGATGTTAATTGGTCTACTCCAAGTATAACAGTAGATATCACCCCCAGGCTGTAAATTTAGACAGCTACATGTAAATGACTTCAGTACAGAAAGTATAAGGGGGAAAGAAAACCCTCTAAACTAGCCGCTCTGAGCCCGGCCTTGGCTGGGGAGGGCGGGGTATAAATAAAAATTATTATTATTATTATTATTATTATTATTATTAAACTGATTGGTAGGGACTTGCTCCCTGATATTATGGAAGATGGCCGTTGAGAATTTATATTTATCTAATGCTAGGAGTCCGTTTGATGCTGTGGCCAGGTCCCTGTCCAAACAGCTTCCAATCCAAGACAAAAGTGATAAAAAAAGAACAGTGTTAATATAGTAGCAATGTTGTAGCAATTTAGGAAAGATTTGGAACAAACTACATTTGCTTACATGGGAGAGCAGAATGTTTGTAAGCATTGTAATAATACACTGGAGTCACAGAACTGTATATTTGTCTAACATGAAGAAGAATGACAGACTTAATGGGTTGTTATTCCATTGGGAAAAACCAAAATGACACTCTATAATCTGAATGGGTTTCACTCCAAATGGGTACATGAGGATTGCTACACTTATAAAAATATGAGCAAATAAATAATTAAAACATCTTTAGCCAAGCATATAAAAGCACAGGCACCACTCCTGCCAACAGTGTCTCAAAACAGCAAGGCCAGCTACTACCAAAATATTTACTGGCAACAGGGAAAAAATGCAAAAATAACAGAAAAGCAACATGTGCCAATTCTTTAAAAGATACTTGTCTTCTACCTCTATAGCACTTTCTGCTGAGGCAACAGTCAGGGAAGCCTTCCTGTAGAGCTGCTTGCATTTTAGGGACCTGACAGGCGCCTTATATGCCCAAGTACTGATGTCTGGCAGTACATTTCATGCCAAGACGGAAAAGCTTTTCTAATGTGGAGTCATTTTGTGAAGACAAAAACCATGATAAAAATGGCTCTAAGAGATTTTTTTATGATTCCACACAAGTTAATATCTCTGAAATGTCTACTAACCTATTTTCTAAGCCTATGATATTCACATGTGAATGAATTCTCTTTTTTAAAAAACGTTTCTTGGACTGGTAGATATTTTCCTAGACCCTTCTCAGTTTTGTTGTGTATGTTTGATAGGGTGCTGCCAATCATTTTGATTGCTCGTATCAGTTGGGACAACACTGATTTATCCTGACTTCATCTCAAGCCATGAAGAATCCTAGAAGGAACAAACACAAACACACACACACTTGCTCCATCAACTCCTTTTAACTCTATGACCTTAGTGAAGCATATGAGTGGGTGTTGTCAATCACATTGGCTGTTTTTTGTCTTTTACCCTGATTCTTTTCAAAAGTCCTATTTATTTGGATAAATGAGTATACAACCATAACCTCAACACATTGAACTCAGCAAGCATGCATAGTATCAGGCAGCTTGTTATACTAAAACCATGATTATTTTTTTACCATGTTGTGAATGTTTTCACACAAAGCCTAAGCCAAATGACTTCTACCAGATCACATTGAGGATCAAATACCCTCATATTTCTTAGTAACTACAGTATTAAGACTGTGGAATACTCTAATTTTACAGGGTATACAGCCAAGAAGGGTATCGAAATGACAAAAGTAGTTTAAATTTGGGAGCAGGGAAGAAAGGAGAGAAGAAAGAGGATATTTAAAGATATGTGATTAGTGTAGATCCCTATGAGGATTATAGGCAAGATTGAGGGACATATCATGTGAGTAAGTTTTCAGTGTGGTCAAGGGCAGGACAGACTAAGGGGCTAATGCCTGACTGAGAATTCTCTTAAGAAAGGCTGCTGAGGCAAGAGGGAAAAGCCGAAGCATTTATTAAGTTCTCTTTTTGCTCTTTAATACACAGATGCCTAGGAAGCAGGCATGGCTTGTAAACATGGAATTCAATGGAGAAGCTTCACAATATGATCTGAAATGGCAGGCTTGTGAAAAATATTTACTTTTAAAATACGGTGGTTGATTTGACTAGCCTACCAACTGAGTTTTAATGCTTATTCATCATATACATGGGATAAATTTAGGTCACAAATTGTACTTATCATTACTTCACATTCTAGCTGTGATCAAAAATACACATACATCATAATCTTCAGTGTAATCATCTTTGTTTACAGTATGAATGGCACCTGCTCTTAATACTGCCTTGATGCATAGTGAGCCATAGCAGTGGCCTAATACTAAGAAGATAAATCACTCACCTAATGCAGGATACCCTAGATAAAACCTATCTGCTCCCAGCCATCCAAGAAATAAAGACAGAGCCACCGCTACTTTGTAGGAGTAACCATTTCTAGAAACAGGAGAGAAATTTGGATGAAAACAATTTGTTAAATCAAACCACCTTGCCCCAGTAAGCAATCTGGCCGCTGAATTCTGAACCAGCTGAAGTTTCCGAGCTGTCCTCAGAGGCAGCCCCCCCCATATAAAATGTTGCAGTAATCTAACCTATATGTTATCAGAGCACAGACAACAGACGTTAGGCTACCTCTACCAAGATAAGGGTGCATTTGGGCCAGCGGCCGAAGCTGATGGAAGGCACTCCATGCCACTGAGGCCACCTGAGCCTCAAGGAACAGCAATGGAAGCTGTTCTACCTGCTCCTTCAGAGAGAGTGTAACCCCATCAAGTGCAGGCAACCTCTCATACATCCAGTCTAAGGAGTCACCCACTTAGCAGTGTCTAAGTTTCTGGATTGAGCTCGTTTCTTGGCTCTCATCCAGTCCATTAACAAGGCAAGACCTTAGTCCAGCACATCCACTGCCACACATGCAAATGTAAAGGAGAAGTAGAGCTGTGGGTTCTTAGCATATTGCTCACAACATACTCCAAACCTCTGGACGACCCCACTCAGTAGTTTCATGTATATGTTAAAACAACATGGGGGATAAAATCAAACCCTAAGGACCGCAAAATGAAGCATCCATAGAGCCAAACAATGCTCTCCAAGCATCACCCTCTGAGAACAACCATCCAAGTAGGACTGGAACCACCACAAAGCAGTGCCACCCACCCACAACGTAGACAGCCACTCCAGAAGGATACCATGGTTGATGGTATTGAAAGTCACTGAGAAGTAAAGGAGAATAAACAGGGACATATTTTCCCTGTCTCTCTCCTGACAGAGGTAATCATACAAGGTGACCCAAGCAGTTTCTGTGCCAAAACTGGGCCTGAACCTCTTAGATGTGAAGCAGTTTTACTACAATTTCTTAAAACTGACGTGTTACTCCTCTACACTCTCCTGTCATAGAGCTGAGAAGGAAGAGGGCTAAATCACACTTCAGACTAAGGAGGTGGCTGAAGTATATGAACAATTTTATAATTAATTTAGCCAAGCTTTACAACAAGTGGTGGCATTATATATTGAACAAAAATATTCACTTACACGTTTCGACACTCTATAGGCTTGTAAAATCCAATTTCCTTTCCAGTAAATTGGGTTTCATTCCCAAAGAAATTTTTGCAAGTAATATTTGGTGCTGGAAGACAGCCGACTGTGGGCAAAAAAAAAAAAAAAAAGCATTCTGCACTAAACTCCAGGGAAAGGCCTCCAGGGAAAGAACAAGTGAAATAAATATATGCATGTTTTTATCAAGACAGCTAATACTACACATAGAAGAATGCAACTGTACTACAGATTTAATATAAAATATTTTCTGGAAAAAGTGGAAATATACAAGTTAAGTTTTCTGAATTAACATTATAAAGTAATGACTAGGATGATAAAATAGTTGAACAAATTTCTTTGCACTTATGACACTTAGCTGTGCTAAACAAAATATATATGACAAGACCGTGAAGTACAAATTAACATAGACTATCAAGGTGATAGAAGGTTGTGGACCAAAGATGTTCACATACCACTGTAAATAAATACACCAATTATGCATTCAATTATAAATTGTGCCATACGCAGTGTTTCTGATCACCACTATACATGATCAATATGGGGTGCGGGAACTAGTGTTTATCATGAACAGCATTTAGTCAAATAATATGCACCAGTAGCTAGACTAAAAGCATTCTATTGCCATACTCCTTACCATATGCAGTGTGATTTGTACAGTTCAAAGGTTCTTGTGTTTCATTGTCTATTTTAGGATCTTCACAAATATATGTTTGAACAATTAAGGAAAACAAATATAAACTGAACAATAACAACACAGTAAATTACGATAAATTGTTTTATCTGCCTAAGATTTTACAGGCGGAAGTGGCCTGTTTTCCTTCTTATTACTAATATTTTGGGTATATAAACATATAAACTTTGTATTTGAAAAATGAAGTGCTTAACTAGGCTTTACAAGAGACACAGAGTTTCCTGGTATTTATCTATCTCTTCCTAATAATGTGAGACAAACAAAATGGAAGAGATCAGACAATCATATAATGGTTTAAATAAGCCAAAATCTGAGGAAGATTTTTGCTTGTACCCAGACAGCCCTTTGTATGAACTATAATTAAACCTATTCAGTATAGTTTCCCGTTTTATCCAATCCAGCAAATAGCAGTTAGCAGTTTCATAACAAATTAAGATGCTATTAAACTATGGTTTTAAAATATGTTATTTAAAACATAGTTTAACATCCTGGCTTTCTTGTTCTGCTAAAACAATTAAATGTTGTACTTTTATCCACAACAAAATATGACCCAGGAGCCTCAGATAGGCGGACCAATTGTTTAGAACAGGTGTGGGGAACCTGTGGATTTCTAGATGTTGCTAGACTATCCCTGACCACTGGCTGTGCTGGCTGAGGCTAACAGGAGTTGGAGTCCAACAACATCTGAAGAGCCAAATTCTCCATTCTTGAACTAGACTTTTTTCTTCTTAATTTTATTAGCATTCCTTTAGTCCGACACATCACAGACTCAAATAAAGTACTACATGTTACCCCAAAACCATTTCAAAGACATCTTAGCACAGCGACAGACAAAAGAGGGGTCACTACTCTTAACCCTTCCCCTACTTAGGGGTCCTTTACCTTTTACTTAGGTTAAATATTTTTTCTACACCTGATCACTGCCTGATGTCAGATAGCCTTGCTTGATGAGGTCACTTCATGAAGTTTAAACATATATTTCCCCCATATCTTGTCCCTTTGCGGCTGCCACTTTTTTGTGTATGGCAGAGCTACTGTGCCCCTTAAGACTACAAAAGATTCAACAGGTGTAGCTTCTGCCCAGCATGCCGCTGAAGTGGTGCGAAGGCCTCACCGGGTGTTTTAAATCGCAGGAGCTCTGCCGGGAAAAGGGGCAGCCCCACGGTCCTCCCCAACCCATTGCAAGGCCCATCACCATGGCAACCAGGCGCTGCCTCCGCGCAGCTTCAGGATATTGTCCGACTCTCAGGTCTTCGCACTTCAGAGAAGGGTCGCCGCCCGCCGCGCCCTGCGCCGCGAGACAAGCCAAGCACAAGGTTCCCAAGGACCAGAGCGCGATCACGCCGCCTTTTTTCCTCTTGTTCCCTGACAGCGGCATCTCCTGCCAGGCGGCCATGTTGGAAAACGAGCCCCCTGGTCAGCTGACGTTTTCGCCCTATCTAGTAGCGTCGTCGCCTCTCCCGAAGGGCCAGCGGGCCTCGAAATGGGGCGGAAGAAGCGGCGCTGTTCTTTCAGGGAAGCCTTCATTTTCCCATAGCAAAGATGGCGCCCGTTCCTTATAATTTCCTCCCCGGTAAACAGACAGGCGGCGAAATGGGAAGCCGGGTGCCTTTTCCAAAGATGGATGCTTTCCTAACAAAGCTGCGAGAGAAAGCTCGGCTGCCCTTACTTAAGATGGATCCCTTTGAAGCGCGGAAACTTGACTAAAGTGTTCAGCCCCGTCCCAATCTCAAAACGAAAACGCGTGCGGTGATCAGAGGTTGATAGGATCATAAAATAAACGTGAATGTAGAGTATGAACAAAGGATAAAGCCAAGCTCACAAATTAATGAATGTGTCATGTTATTTATTCAACTTACGGTATATCCCACCCTTCCTCCCGAACAGGGAATCCCAAACTGTTTTTTTTGGACTACAACTCCCATCATCCCTGATCGCTGGTTCTGCTAGCTAGGGATGATGGGAGTTGTAGTCCAAAAACAGCTGGAGACCCAGTTTAGGAAACCCTGCTCCCGAAGAAGCCCAGGGAGGCATAGAATCCCTTCCGATCTCGTTGATAGATTCCTCTCGCTTCCATCCACAGTCGCAACCTATAAATGCTGCATATTTTAAAAAAAAAAAAAAGCTAACGGGGTTCCGGGGTCATTTATCGAAATTAAGCAGTTTCACATGCACACGCAAAACAGATATTAGTATATCACAATAAGTAAAAGCTTCATCTGCTGAAAATTTCTGTTAGGTATTTTTTAGGTCCAAAGGGGTGAAGAAGTTCACTGGCAACAGGGATTGGTAAGCATGCATTTAAATGTTTTAAGCTAATTTTATAGAATAGAGAAGTGTATTGTGTGGTAACTAAGGTTGCAGTCCTAACCATGTCTATTCAGAAGTAAGCCCTACTGAATTCAATGGGACTTTCTCAAAGGTAAGTAAATTTAGGATTGCAACCCCACTTCCCTGCTCCTGGATTCACTGCCACTGGAGGCTCAGGTGCTACGGACCCTTTTAGACCGAGATGACTTGCCACCGTACTCCATGCTCCACCAGATTGGATTGTGTCCATGTGCTCTACCTGGGGTTGCCCTGGTGAAGGGCAGGTAATAAATAACAGCAAAACAATACTTTGCTAAGAAGATTCTTATAACTAACGTGAACTATCCTGGAGTTGAGAATGCATCTCTGAGACACTTGGCTGCCTGAAACTTCATTATTTCCTGTCCGTTTAGGAAAAGTTTAAAAACTATTTATCCCGAGTTCTAATAATAAGTAAAAGCCAAATATGACTTGTGTTTGGGTTTTTTTTTCAACTTAAAAAACCCACAAACTGACTCATTGTTTCTTCATGCTTGGGGTTGAGCATATTGCTGCTGGTTTCATAAATAGCTACTGCTAAACCAGCTGGATTCTCTCTCGCCACTGCCGCGTATTCACACGTGTCGGGAATTATCTCCCCTTCATCTTGCTTCTCTTTCACGCCCCTCTCAACCCTTGGATTATTTCCTTCTATGTCTCTCCCCACTTCTTTATGTGCCTTCCCCCGTGCCTTCACCGCGGCCCTTGGGCTTGTTGGTTCACACCGCGCGGAAATCAAGCGGGGCGAAACCTCGCCGCCTTCTGCCTGCCGCTCTCTCTGCCTTCCTTCCCCTCCAGATCCGGACTCTCCCGGCGTTGGTTTCCTTGCCTAAGGCACGGCTCCCCCTTGCTGCCAGCTTCCTGTGTTGCAGGTGAGGCGCGGCTCGAATCCAGGCTCTCGCTTCCGCCCAGGTAAGAGCGAGTGGAAGATCCGAAAGAGGCAGCCGTGGCAGAGCTCTCCTCGCCCCGCAGAGAGCAGGTAAGAGGGGGTCCAGGAACAGGCGACCCTCTCCTCGCCCCCTGTCATTTGCGGGAAAGAGAAGCAGCGCGCAGCCGCTGGAATAGCAACCGGCGGGGCATTTACAGGGCGCCCTCCACTTACTTCCTGGATGTTTCTAAGTTTCGTCGAAAACACTTGTCGCACTTCGGGCTGGGCTGCTTTGCAGAGCACTGAGCTGGGATTTAAATCTCTGTGGAGTTGGTTCCCAGTTCGTGCTTTTCCTTCTAATTATCCAAGGCTAAAAAGATTTAATAACAAATAAAAAAATTGAAATTCTAATTTTAACTGCAAGCCTCCATACCCACTGGGCTTCCTTGTTTTGGCTGTGGCGAGGGGTTTTGATTATTGCATGGTGGTGGCCGCTTTGGGAGTTGTCCTGTTTAAAGTTTGAACATAAACAGTTTAAAACCTAAGAAAGGGTGGAGGAGAAGCGGTGAAAAGCTATTTTCGGCCTGGTTGTAGCTCTCAGTCATGGCGCAACAGGTCCCACACCTTGGCCCCTGACTAGCTGCTGCACCTTGCTTGAGTAGCTCCTGCCTCTCCACGTCTTTACAGAGCCTCTCTGGTGGGGCTTGTGAGGCCACCCACAGGTTGAGAGTGGACACACCTGTACTGACCTCACAGCACCTGTATCTGAGGTCTAGCAGCCACCTCTGCTGGTGGAATTTGAGCTTTGTGCCTCTCTGAGGAGAAGGGGCCCATCTTCCCTGTGCTGCACCACTGTCTACAGTGGGCTGTGGCGGCAGCACCAACGTTGTCTTTCTCCCTCTTGGGCTCAGAGAGTTGCCTGCCGATGGCAGTTGTGTCTCACTCTCCTGACAAAGTGAACAAGTGGAGCTGCAAGGAGCCTCCCCCCCCTTCTCTTTCTTGTTGACCCCTTTTTGTGTTGCACCTTCCTCTAGTTGCCCCTTTCTCTGTGGCTGGTGGCACAGGGAGGGTTAGGTCCAGCAGGGCTTCCCAGGGTGAGCGCTGCTTCACATCCTGTCATTTGTGAACTGCCTTTGGGCAGCTTTGTGGAAGAGACTGGGCCAAGTGGGTCTGTCCAGAGAGAGAGAGAACCTAAGCTGTTGCTGCCTCTGCCTGCTCTTGGCAGTAAGCAGATAGGATTGGATGCAGCAGGCATGGCTCTGCCAAGACATTTGCTGCCTAAGGCAGAACAGCAAAGTGTGCCCTCCCGCAATCCATGCACTTAATAGCCACAGCCAGTTAAGTTTATTTTGCCACTCAAGGCAGAACAATCCCCAAAACCCCTCTCACCTTCCCTGGCAGTAAAATGCAATAGTAATAAATTAAATAATCATATGAAGCCTTTTTGTGGCATCCCAAACCAGCTGCCTCATTCTGCCGCCAATGATAGGGCTGGCCCTGCTGTAGCACCACTTGGAAGAGTGCCAAAGCAGGGAGGCCAACAGTAATCCAATGTGAATTTAAACTCGTATAATGGGAGAATATGACAGGGGTGTAAATTTTTGAATTTGCTGGGTCCCTTTTATGTTTATGTGTAGCAGGAAGCTAAATAGCCACATGGATAATTCTTCTCAGCATTGTTTGGGTTATGCTAAATAACAATACATATTGGATAATACGTATTGCTTAGTGGCTGGGGAATTTTTTTTCTTTTAAATGGGGTTGGACTCGATGGCCCTTGTGGTCTCTTCCAACTCTATGATTCTATGATTCTATGAAATGCTTTAGGCTGCAATCCTGACCCCTCTTGTCTGGAAGTAAGCCCCACTGAATTCAATAGGACGTGCGTATTAATGGATATGGTTAAGATTGTGCTGTTGGTGAAGAAACTGTATTTATCACAATAGTAATCCCCCCATGAACTCCAAACATTTTGATTGAATGTGGGATTTTAAGAAGCGGCTTTTGAGAATGGTTACAGGTATTATGTGCGTGTGTGACATCTTTGCTGCACAAAGAAACATGTTGACCTCAACTTAACTTGTACTTTTATTTTAAAATGCAGATTATTTTGACCACCACAGCACAGATAAGCCAACATGCCAGAAAATCCTGTTGCAGGTAGGCGTCTCTGGAAAAGAATCTCTTGGTCAAATAATCAAATATTTCAAAGCAAGCATTTAATGTGTGATGTTTTGTGGAATCCCACAGATAAGCAGCAGGTGCTGCGGATTCTGGAGCGTCTGCTATTAAAGCTACACGAGAGAGGAGACACTTCACAGATCGATAATCTGGCTTTCCTGTACAATACACTCAAGAACCCCTTGTTTAATCATATGCTGACTCTTCAGCAGTCAATCAAGCAACTGAAAGAACAAGTAAGTTAAAGACTGTGAAGTTTAGCAATGCTGGTGGTTATGTTTGAAGGATGAATTAATGAAATATTCATCGCTGACAATGTTGTTTTACACTATATATCTGCTTGGGGTGAATGCTGATCTTTTGTCACTTCTATGGTAAATTTGTCATCATTGTAATCTATCATGGATTTACTAAATCTTTCACTAATTGCCTTCAGACAATTACGTTCTATGTCTGGGTTTTCTGCCTCAAGCAGAGGGTTGGGTCCTGCCCTGGGCTCCTTTTGCAGGAAGGGTGGGATAGAAATTCAGTAACTAAAATAGATAATAAATAGATGACCACAAGGCCCGCCCCCCACTCTGTGATTTCTTACTAATGTTATACAAAGGTTTAACATCAGAGGTCAAACTTCTGGCTATCGTGCCTTGAACCTAACATTTGAAGTTTTCCTAGAGGTTTTCCTACATTTGGCCACTCCTGAGATTAATAAGAAGCGCTCAATGCATTGACTCACAAATCAACTGGCAGGAGAAACAATTCTTTATGCTAACGAATGTATTCCCTTGCTATCCACAGCTCGCTTACATGCCTCCAAATCGTTCAGTGGATTTTGATTTTACCAGGAGAGGTTTGCTGGTGTTTGACGCTGATCAAAATTCTCTTGCTAATGGAAACCTTTATATGACTTGCACCAGAACAATCAGATGACTCCTCTAGTTCCAAAGCCTGGAGTTGATGAGTTTAATTTGGCAATCCAGAGGATGGCAAAGGTATGGCACAGCACCATTGGCAGACTAAATATATATTGCTCATCCCACTAATTCCAAATGTTTCTGGTTTTAAAGTTTTACATTTGTACAGCAAAGCATGCAAGTGTATTTTTTGGGGGGATGCATTTTAATGGTACAATGGTAAGTAATAGAAAGCTTATGTTCTAAGTATTTTTTGAGCAGGTTCTTGCCAAACCTTGAATTTGTGGCATTTTCTTCGCTTCTTGCATGTATTCAATGTTCTTTTTTGTAAAAATTCAGGAAGTGTGTAGTAATCATCATCATCAGTGCTTTTTTTTTCTAAAAAAATGTTTAGGGGTACTCTCCTTTTGACTCAAGAAAATCACCATTTTATAGTTCAAATCTGGGAAAATAAATACAGTAAACTGACAAAATTACAAAGACTGACAAAATGTTTAGGGGTGTGTGTCCCCCTGTGTCCCCGCAGAAGAAAAGCACTGATGATAATAATAATATTGATACCCCACCGATCTGGCTGGGTTTCCCCAGCCGCTCTGGGCAGTTTACAGTATATCTAAAAACATAATAAAAGCATTAAAAACTCCTGATACAGGGCTGCCTTCAGATGTCTTCTAAAAGTTGTGTAATTCTTTATTTCCTTGACATCTGAAGGGTGGGCATTCCACAGGGAGGGCGCCACTACTGAGAAGGTCCTCTGCCTGGTTCCCTGTCACTTTGCTTCTTGAAGTGAGAGAACCAGCAGAAGACCCTCGGAGGAGGACCTCAATGTCCAGGCTAAGCAATAAGGGTGGGGACTAGTTTAGTGGTCAATTTCACTATTCTATGTAATGTTATTATTTTGTAATGACATCAAGTTGAAGCCATACATGAAATTTGGTTCTCACTAGGCTTTGCTTGTTTAGGGTTTTTTTTGGGGGGGGAGTGTATTTTAAGATAAATGAGTAGAATATTGTAAGTTAATTGCTTCTATTTTTCATTTATTAGGGCAGGCAAATAGAAAATATTGCAATAGAGAAGCCATTTAATGGAGGCCTTGGATTTAGTGTGGTTGCTCTTAAAAACCAAAGTCTTGGAGAACCCGGAATCTTTGTCAAGGAAGTTCAGCCAGGAAGCATAGCAGCCAGGTGAGATTCTTGTTTCATATTGTCAAAGCTCATAAAAATAACACGAATTGAATAAAGGGTCTGACATTCTTCATGCTGTTCTTTAAAACCATTGTTCTCAAATACTATTGGCATTGCCAGGACCCTAGAGTTGCAAGACAGCCAAAAGTTGTCTTGTCAAATCTCCTTGTTGTAAGGCAGGACATCTTGCCCACCAGCCTGCCACAGATTAGCGGATGTGAACTGGACACCACAGTGCACTAGAAGCAGAGTACAGGGGCAGTATGGACAGCTGCCTGCCAAAGGTGGCTCTGTATAATGAAAGCATATGAGCCAATAATGATAATAATGTTGAGCATTCATTTTAGACTTGAGCAGCCAAGGAGCCCCATCATGATTCCTGTGATTCAGAAGGTGGGCGCTGAGATATAGTGCACCAGCCAACTGCACTACTATTAGAGAAGGCAGTTCTGTATGCCACCGCATATCTGTGGGGGGGTGTTTGTGTCCTTGAAAACCTGTTATGAAGATGCTGCCATGCTCTTTTCAAGCATTTTGTTTGCTTTATCCAAGGGATCAAAGATTAAAGGAGAATGACCAAATACTAGCCATTAATCACACCCTGTTGGATCAGAACATTTCCCATCAACAGGCCATTATATTGCTCCAGCAAGCCACAGGTTCCTTACATTTGATTGTGGCCAGGGAGCCAACCCAGAGAAGCAGTCGGACTTCAACCTCCTTAAGTGATGTTAATTCACTTGAAATGGTAAGTTACAGCTTTGTCAGAATTGAGTTTTGAATTACAGGCATCTTAAAACACATTGTACAGTGTTTACAATGCTCAACAAATTGCACCTGGGGCTAACTCCGTATGATTAGTGTCTTTGTCTTCCACACAGATAAAATGTAGATCAAACTAAATAGGCAATAAAAAAACATATTCCTAGATGTATGTGTCAACTTGCAGCTCTCTTGGAACAACCTTGCAACTTCAAATGGAGTTGTAAAAATAATAAAATTGCTTTGTAGGAAGTAACTAGCTGGTAACCCATTGAGTTCAAATGCTGTCTCCTGTGTTGTTCTAGAAACTTTTTGTGTGCTGTGCATTCTTATTTGTTACTGTTTATTAAATTTCTATACCACCCTTCATCCAAAGATCATAGGACAGCTTACAATATAAAAACATAACCATATACAAAAAGTATCATGATAAACAGACTTTCATCTTTTGTCTCTTCCAGATCAATTGGGGCCATGTTGAGGAAGTAGAGCTTGTTAACGATGGCTCAGGATTGGGTTTCGGAATTGTAGGAGGAAAGTCAAGTGGCGTAGTGGTGAGGACTGTTGTTCCTGGAGGTCTGGCAGATAAGGTAACTGGTTTGTACTCTGTCCTTCTTTAAAACAAAACATCCAATAGTTATCAGTTGGAATTTCAAAGCAAGCTAAGGTGTTGTATTTTAAAGAGTGGCAGGTGCTGGTGGTGGGTGATTGATGCAACCAGTTGGAGACCCCTTGCCTAGCTTAACCTGCACTTCCTTTCACTAGACACTGGAGAAAGATGGCAGAGTTATATCCATCTCTTTCCACTTCTTCCTCACTACTGCTGTTAGCAAAGTGAGTGGCAAGCACAATCCTAGCCGTGCTCATTCCATTGTGGGGAGAGGACAGTAATTGGGCAGAGGTGCTGACTCCAGTCCATGGCCTTTATTCCCACATGCCTATTATGATCAAAGAAGACTGATATTATTCAAGACTCAAGAGTCAGTATCTATAAAAGCAAGACTAAAGCTTGGGGAAGGATAACTAATTTTAAATGTTGACAGTGTCTGTGTTCCAAGTCAGATGAATGGTTTTTCAAGTATGCCACAGTAAGAAGGGGAATTTAGAAAACATGTGCACCATTTGGATCTAAAGATCAGTAATATGTTAACCATTAGACTTAAAGCATTGAAGAGCAGCAACACAAAGCTGTATTCATGCATTATGCCAAACTCAATTAATCACTACATGTACTAACAGCAGTGAGTTTGCTCCCATCCTCCCTATTTGTCTTCCTAACTATTATTATTAATATTAATTAAATTTCTATACCACCCTTCAAAGATAACAGGGTGGTTTACAATATAAATATAACTATCCCTCACCTTCTATTCACAGAAGTTTCCTAGCCAATCAGATTTTGATTCTATCAACCTAATTTGCTATATTTGCACACAGCACACAACACAATAGTTTACTGAGAAACTGGAAATTGGTTGGGATATTGCTGTGAATGTGTGCGGCCGAGGCTTACCAGTTGTTCAAAACTAAGTTTTGGTGTTGTTTGTGAATGCAGCAAGAAAGTCTATAAACGAATCATATTTGTTTTGGTGCCTAGGGAACTAATACAACTCTCCGGACTTTGCAAAGCTGGAGCGTTCATGCTTGAGATTCCCAGAATAATAAGTATGAGTTCAAATAGGAATACTATTTAATTATGACATGAAAATTTCAGTAATTTTAGTGGCTTACATAGTTTCCTGCATCTCCCATTTTTATCTTCATAACAACCCTGTGAGGTAGATGAGGCAAAAAATAGGATACAGGTCTCCCTGGCTCAAGTCCAGGGCAGTTAGCTTGATCATGCCAGGAAGATACCTACATGATCAAAGAGTTGTGAATCTTCATGCAACAACCCAAGTTGCTTTACAGGCTGTGAGTTTTGGAGTCAGCTGACTGTGCACTCTTGATAGGAATTGAGACCCTATTTTTTTTAGAAATTATGAACCTCTTGTGCTTCCATGTCCATCAGCTGGCACTAAAGGATGCTACACCTTTTGGGGTTGGCGTTTCAATGCAACTTTGACTAAAACTTGCTGCCTCTAACCTTGTGGATACAAAGAGGGCTCTGTTTCATTTTATTAATATTAATGTACGGAAAAGAGACAGATTATAGGATGTGTTCCAATTCATAATATAAATGAAAGTTGGGAGACTTGAAGAGTTGAAATTTTAAAAGTTGGCTGTTCTGCCCCCTCTACAAAACTGTCTGTTATAATGAATGCTTTTCTCTTGTGCCTTTGGAACACCTGTTTTGCTGTAAGGAACAAAATGTTTTGGCATCCAAAAGCATATGTCATACTGTCTTAATTTGCAGCAGTCTTGAGTGACTAAGAATAGGGGTACAAAAAGGAGAGTAATTGTGTTAAATTTGGAAAGAAAAGGAGGAAGAGATAATGGCCACATCCACACGTAACGCTAAGCCAAACCCTGGGATAGGGTGAACATGTTGACTCCCAAGGAGAGGATTGCACTTTCTTTGCTCATTCGTGGACTTTTTACCTCAGCCAGCCAGCCAGCCAAGCCAAAGTTTGGCTTAGTGTGTCATCTGAACCAGTGTTTGTGGTTAAGTTCTCTCCTCCTTACCCATGATTTGTAGCCAAGGTTTGTCCTGTGGTTACGGAGGAGAGACCTGAGCAATAATCCCAGGTTCAGACAACATGCTAAGAAAAACTGTGGCTTAGCTGCTGTTCCATGCTGCGCTAAGAAGCCCCCAGAGAGGAACAAAGCAGGTGTGAGCTCCTTAGTGGAAGCCAGCACGGTCCCAGGAAGCCATACTGTGTCTTGCCTTGACATGAAAAAACGCCATTGACTGGAAGAGCCAGCACTGATATTGAGACATTGTTTGCTTGGGGAGTTTACTTTGGCAAATAGCTGCTCACACAAACAATCTGTTCCACATGGGCAGTGTAATAGCAGAGGACCGGCTCATGGGAGATCACACCAGCTACTTCTGTGACAAAAAGAAATCTTGCATGCATCCATCTCGCAGAAGTAACCACTCTATACTTGTCTGAGCAGCTCTTCTGGTGTTCTGGAGCTCATGTGTGGATGGTTGTTAGTCCATGTAAAGTCTGAAAAATGACATATCCACTAAATCTGAATTATGAACCTTTGCAGAAGCCAGAATGTTCACTTATGAGGGGAAGCGTATCTGATTTTTTCTGTCAAATTCTCCATGCATGTCTGGCGGTTTATGGACTTGTGTTTGGTGCTTTGTCTTGAGACATTATCTGAAATGTTTTACTCACAAAAAAATGATGGTTTAAGACTCACTCCTGTAATTTATTTACTTTTCCCGAGAGTGATCTTGCTTGTAAATATAGTTTGGTGGAAAGTATGTAGAATTCCTTAAAAATAAATGGTCTTGCAATGTGCATGTGGCATTTAAGATACTTTTTTCTAGAAGCACTAAATCCAAACTCCTCCATTTGCTTTTCTGTTTAATAGACCAGTTTCTATAGGAAGTTGCAAAACTACAAATATTTTTCTGTAGTAGTTTCTTAATTCCCGCCCCCTTGCCCTTATGAAATAACCAAAGAAGTGGCTGATGGTGCAGTAGGTTTAAAAGAAATTTGATATTTAATATTTGACTTTTTCTTTTCAAAGTAGCATTTGGTGCTGCATTGTTTCATTTGATAGCATTTTGCACGGTTTGGAGGCATTTTGGGGGGCGGGAATACGCAGTTATAGTTTGGCAGTGCCTAATTATACTTTAGTTGCAAATTTTAAAACTATGCAAAAGTAAAGCCATGTTTGCTACTCAAAGGATGGCAGACTCAGAACTGGTGATCACATCTTGGAAATTGGTGGGACAAACGTGCAAGGAATGAGTAGCGAACAAGTGGCTCAAGTGTTGCGAAACTGCGGGAACCGTGTCAAGATGGTTGTTGCAAGAGACCCCACGTGTGAAGTAACGGTGACACCGCCGACCCCTGTAGCCCAGCCTGTTGGTATGCTGTCTCCTTTTCACGACAGGCGATTTGGAACGGTGAGTATCTTCGTGCTTTGCAGTTCTTCCATGAGTTGCATTCTGCAGCAAATACACGATTGAAAACCCCGTATAGATCGCAACATTTCAAGGCTATAATTGCCCCTCTCAAGGTGCATCTCAGTAAATGTTCCAAAAACAGTCACTACCACCTCCACCATCATTCACCTTCACTGTAGAAATTCACAGACTCTCTCGCTATCACTGAGCAGAAGATTATTTACTACTTCCCTATATCTGAGCTCCCTTCATTTTCTAGAGCTGTTCCTTCTGCCTCAACTGGACATGATTTGTTTGAAGTGGATGCCCTTGTTAGGGAAGGCCTTCCCCTGAGAGGCTCACCTAGCCATGAGAGCGGCTGTTTTATATTTGTTGGGCAAAATCCTTATTCTCTCAGGTTTAATGTCCTTTAAAGTATTGTTAGATTCCCTTTTCTTTAATAGCCTCATCTTTTTGTTGTTGTTAATCTTATAAACCTATTTGTGATGACAATCTGTTCTACCTGAATACCTCATTATACTTGTGACCTATGTATATATAGGTGTATATATAAATATACATAGGGGGGGAATCTGACCCTTCTTACATATTTGGTTTATAGCCTATCTAAAGGTTTGGGAAAGTTAACAAAATGTTAAAAATCAGACTACTTCATTAAATTCATCTAACCCCATGGTTCCCAATGTGGGGCACACGCCCCACAGGGGGGCAATTTGATTCTTAAGGGGGGGCAATTCGAGAATGAGTTATTAACAGTGAATGGCCTTTTAGGCTTCCTCCATGTGGATAGGAGTTCCCTTTTTGAATAATGAGAATTATATGTCACAGGAAGGGGGCATCAGGATTTTAGAGATGCTTAGGTGGGCATGGCCAAAAAAAGGTTGGGAACCACTGATCTAACCCCTATTGACAGTCCCCCAACAGAGCTGCTTAACCTCACCTATCAAAAACAATGCAAAAGATGGTATTCAGACTTTAGGAGTAGATCCAAACTTAGTCATAATGCTTAGAGAGTAGACCCATTAAAAGAAATGGGCCCTAAGTTACTCATGACTGATGTAGGACTGGCATCCCATTGATTTCTCTAATCTAAGCACGATAAAGACTGGATCCAGCCCTTTATTTAGAAATTTATCCAAAAGGAGGTTTGGCACTTGACACAGCCCTCTGTTTTAAGTTCCAGGGGTAATGTAATGATGTGCTAGAGTCCTTGTAGCCTACACTAATACATTTGCTGCTAAAAATGCATCTTACAAATATGGTTTTAACAAATCTTTAATTTTTGTCACATTAAAGTGTTTTGTTTAAACAAAAGCCCTTCTCAGTTTTGAGTAATTAAAATAAACTAATGCTACTCAAAGTATGCAGGAGGTCTTGAAATGTAAGCAAAGCTGTGCTCGTATTCCATCTGTTGCCACTGTGCTTTTTAGGCGTGGAATATTTTCAGAGATCTCTCTCCTGCCCTGTGGTGTGGTTTTTTAACTGCTGCTGCTTCTGTTCCTTCTCAACTACTACAGTGAGATATTTGGGGACATGGCTCTTAGAAACATGGGTTTGTATTGTGGGCCCTGCTTCCCCACAGTTAGACAGAATGAGATAGCAGGCCACTACTTTGGGGAGTCATGAAAGGGACAGCAAATTGCTATTTAATTGTCCATTCATTATTATGACGATTTTTACTGTCAGGGATGGGGAAAGCTGCATGTGGGGTTTGCTGCCTTAGGTGCCAAAATAGATTGGCTGGTTGGCCTTGGGTACTATGAACATGCCTCCTGGCTAGGGAAGAAGCATTTGTTGCTCCATTTAGGGCTGTAAAATACTGGTATATTGGGGATGGCCCTGGCTGAGGTGATTTCAGTTTTTGTACTCTGATTCCAAATGCATTTTAAGTCTAATGATGCCTCTGAAGAATAATGAAACATTATTCAGATGAAAGGAGAGAAGGTGTAATCTCGGCCCCAGTGCCATTCCTCTGCCTTAATCACCTTAACCTCAAGGAACTCCGTGGCGGACCCAAATAAGTTGCTTGCTAGAGATGGAGTTTGTTGAGACTTCAGCCTCTTGATGCAATATGATTGCTTTCTGGCGTGGACTGAGAAGTTCAAGGGAGCCAGGGTGAGGCAGCTGGTTTGGGATGTCATGTTAGGCAGCAAATTTGTACACCATCCAGTTTATTGCATTTTTACTGCCAGGGGAGGAGGAAGAGGCATCAATAACTTCTTGACTTTGTGCCCATGCTGCTGTAGCCTTGAGATAGTCTTCTGGATCAACATGTTGGACGTTTCCTAGTACCAGGACCTTACATATATGATTAGTTAGAAGATATCTAACTACTTTAATTGAATTGTACTATCACTTTGTTCTAAGCTGTTAGTGGCAGTGTGGCCTTGCGGTTGATTATTTTCTTCCATCTTTGCCCTCACTTCATCTTGGACATATCACATTCTTGCTTATCCATTAAATTAAATCATATTGTCCCATATATGTATGTAACCACTCTTTTACAGCTATTTTCACCTTTTGTATCCTACTTTGGACAAACTCATTGCCTTTCTAAGGTGGCAAAATGCCTTACTGCGTTCGCCACCTCAATTTCCCGTTGGCGAATTGCATATTTGAAATTACTCCTGTGCGAAAGTCAAATGTCAGAATTTATCATGGCTCCTTAAAAACCTGGAAGAGTATTGGATCCTTTGACTATTGCATAGGCCTGAGCTAAGTCCCACTCCTTTGACAATCTGCTGCAGCCACTGGTAGGAGCAACAGGAACACTTTAGAAGAATTCATTTCAGTACTGAAGCTATGAAAATAGCAAACCTCTTGTGGACTGAGATTGCAAAAGCATATTGCCCTTGGATTCTGGGACCGAAGAAGCATCCAGTTGGGAGATGAGTTATGGGAATTCATGGCAGAAGCTGGAGAAGTGCTTAATACAGATGTTTATAATCTAAAACTTCAAGCTTCAAAACATGCTTTTATTTCCTAGGAAAATGAAATTCATGAAGTTCAGTTGACTAAGAAGGATGGACAGAGTCTTGGTATAACAATTGTTGGCTATTCAGGAGTTTCTGATACAGGTGAGTTATATGACGTTTTCTCTTTTGCTACAGAAAGCCCACAAAATGGACTCTTTCCTGGAATCTGTAAAATTTCAACGCATTCGAAATGCAGAATTAACAAGTAACAGTGTTCTTTTTCTTTTCTTTAAGCAGAATCTTCAGGGATTTTTGTCAAAAACATAATACCTGACAGTGCTGCGGAACACAGCGGTCAAATAAAAGTCCATGACAGAATTATTGCTGTAAGTTTAAGTCTTATTTTTGCAGGCTGTAGAATCTTACTTTGCAAAACATTACTGGTGTAAGATCTGAGAATGTTAGGCATAAAATAATCTGTTCCAGATTATTTGCTGGCTGAGAATCCCCTTCACATGCCGTCCATCAAATGTGAGTGACTTTTCCCTTATGTAAAGCTTCCCTGCCAGCAAAGTACATTCAAGACCTATGTAGTCTGTGCTGTCCACATGACTGCATCAGTCACATGCAGCTCCCTCCCACCACTCCCTGGTGGCTGCAGCTGCATACAAATGGCATGACCACTGACCGCAAGTTCACCTCTGCAGAAAATGCAGTGTGTGTGATAGTATAGGATAATGGCTTGGATCCTCACGTTCCTTCTGTGAAAAGGAACAGAACTCATATTTATAGAAAGGTACCTTTTTTTTTTGCCTCCCCCTTTCCACTGCCGTTTCCTGAAAGTCTAATCTGGGGGTTGAAGGACTCTGGGAAATGCTATAGAGTATGGTGTAGAGGAATGCAGATAGATGGGAAGCTGACAGATGTCAACTTCTCCCTTGCCTGTGTACAGTGGTACCTCAGGTTAAGTACTTAATTCGTTCCGGAGGTCCGTTCTTAACCTGAAACTGTTCTTAACCTGAAGCACCACTTTAGCTAATGGGGCCTCCTGCTGCCGCAGCACGATTTCTGTTTTCATCCTGAAGCAAAGTTCTTAACCGGAGGTACTATTTCTGGGTTAGCGGAGTCTGTAACCTGAAGCGCATGTAACCCGAAGCGTATGTAACCCGAGGTACCACTGTACTTTTATTTAAAAAATCCAAAACACTTAGTTGCAAGGATCCCATATAATCTGAGAATGTGTTCACTCATGCACACAGTCTCGCAACTGACCAATTTGTGTTGTGTTGTGTTGTGTTGTGTTGTGTTGTGTTGTGTTGTGTTATGTTGTGAACTGCCCTGTGATGCAGGGTGGTAAATAAATTTAATAAATAAGCAAATAAATTGCTTTTTCGTGTCTGGGTTGATAGGGAGCCCTGTTGAGCTTAAGTCATGTTATTTAATGTGAGCAATCAGGCTCATCTTCGGATTTTAGAAATGCCCTGTAATTAGCCTTAAAACTGGTGTTATCATTCAAGCAACTTGCTTTCTGACGTGGATTTCCATTTAGAAACCAATTGTATGTGTCATACATGTCTATGTATTAGGTCGATGGGATCAACATTCAGAATTATACCAACCAAGAGGTGGTGGAGGCATTGCGAAATACAGGCCCAATTGTACACCTGGCGTTGCTTCGAAAGAAACCTTTGTTTCCTGCTTTCTCTTCAGAAAAAGGCTTAGGCAGAGGTAAAGCTCTTCTTTAACTATACCTAATGTTCTTCTAAGCCAATGCAAATCCCTTGGCATTTATTTCACTGAACACCTTGGCATTTTTGTACTGGTGGTACAGTCTTATTTATTTACATGACTGGTCATTCCTGCAGAACCAGTTCATCCTGGTCATGTTCTTCCACTCTTCTGAGTACATTCTTAAAGGTTTTATGTTGGACTTCGCTTGAGGGTAACCACGGTTACTACAGATTGCAGCAGTAACTCAGATCATATTATGCCAGTTTATACACACACACAACTTTATTTTTTCATAACAAACAAACAAAATGGAACATCACTAACAACCCATTTGTGCTTGGAGGTAGTGGTAGGCTGGATGTGGGCCAATAACCTGAAACTGAATCCTGAAAAGAAAGGGGTGCTCTGTGTCCCAAGTTCTTGTGTCCAGGAGGTGTGGAGGCAGCCTGCCTTTGAAGGAGCCAAGTTTGCAGCTTGGGAGATGCTCATGGATTCAGCTCTGTCACTGGAGACTCAGGTGCCCTCAGGGGCTAGGAGTATTTAAAGCCCTAAACAACTCGGGGCCCTACAAACCTGAAAGTCTCATTCTCTACAGAGCCCCTCAGGTGCTAAGATTGGCTGTGTGGTGGGGCCCTCTTAGTATTTGCTCTGCCCTCAGAAGCTCAGGTGGTGGTGGTTCAGGAGAAGGCGTTCTGTGTGGCGGAACATGTTCCCCACAAAGGTTAATCTGGTAGCTTTATTGTATAACTTCCGGCAAATGCTGAAGACACAACTCTTTACCTTGTCTTTTGACACTGGAAGTTTTTGGGTTTTTAGGAGCTACCTTTTGTGATTGT